TGACAGATCTTTGTCACTGCCACAAGAGGTAATTCTATATTGGATACAGTAATCACCAATCACCCGACCCTTTTTTCCTTAACACTAAAACAGCTATCTCCTCCAGCGATCACTGTTTTCTTTTAGTTAGACCTAATGTTTATTCACACTGTGCATATTAATGTTCCTCTCGATCTGATCATGTCAGAGTTCGTTTTCGCAATTTCTCAACCACAAGTGTTTCTCTTCTCAATAAATCTCTCATGCAGGCCCCTTTATGGCTTTCATCATCTCCTTCTTCATTCAAGTGTGCACCCCAAACAATTAATGCGATTTGTAATTACTGCTGCCATGTTAAAAATCTAAATGTATCCAACGAGAGGATAATTTCCTCCCTACTAAGATCGCTGAGATGGCAAAAGGAACGTGTATACAAGACTCAATGCTTTAGCTGTCAGGTATTTGTCCAGGCTTATCAAGGCTGAATTAGATAGATCGAACGCATTATTCTCCGATCGAATTCTGAGGACTGGAAACAGCAAACACCTGTGGCAAAGTATAAGACTTTTCTGTGGAAGGAAGAAAGTACGGTCGAAGCTGGGTATTGATGTTGATGATCTCAATGTCGCATTTCTGCGTCAGTCATCGGGCATTCTTCCTGCCTATTGATCACAAAATGTTTGTAATGTGGAACCATTCTCAAATTATGATGTGTTAAAACTTTTTAATAGTTGCAATTCGTATTCTGCTGCAGGCCAGGCTGATTTACCTCCAGCTTTTTTCAAATTTGGTGCTACTTCCTCAGCTGCTGTAATCACTCCCAGTGTAAATGAATCTCTACACTTCTACTATCTCCGACTGTTGGAGGCCAGTCACAATCATACCAAAGCATCCGAGTCTTCTATCTTCTCCAAACGTTCTCGTCCCATAGCATCAACATCTTCAGCTCTTAAGTTGACTGGAAAGGTTATTCTCAAATGCCTTCAGCAGACTATAAGCATTCCCAATGGTTTTTAAAAAAATAACTCAGGACCAAATAATGTTAGGAGTGTATCGAAAAATGGATGCGCCATGTGCTGTGTCTCATTGTGAATGGTTATAATATTAATAATACAACAATGTCGTTAGAGCATTGCATTCGCCGATGTTTCGGTTACCGTGGGTAACCTAGATAAATCCTAGATAGAACAGATTACGAATCAAAAGTTTTGGAACACCTTAAAAACGGACCACATGAAAGAATTGAAAACAAAAAGGCGAATGCCACTCTCAACAAAACAAAAGCTTGTGCAAACAAACACTCATCAAGCTTGAAAGACAAACTCGGTAAACCATTGTGGTTTTCATTGGCACCCAACACGAATAAACCGGGAAAATTTTACGGTTCACCAAAATACATAAACCGGACACATCCATTCATCCCATTGTAGACTACACACCGTGTGGAACTTATAAGTTAGAAAAATACCTCAGCGATCTGTTAAAACCGTATTCAAAAATAGTGGTTAGTCATATCAATGATGCATTTGAGTTTGCTCGTATTTTGCAAAACATTAAAGTTGAAAGTGACGAGGTTGCCGTCAACTTTGATGTGGTTTCTTTGTACACAAGTGATCACATAAAGGAGAGTTTATATTTTCTACATCCTTTGCTGTTGTCTGATATCTCAATGGAAGAACGAACTTCTTTAACCCCACGAGACATTGTTACTGGCGTGGAACTTTGTCTGATGTCAACTTTATTTACTTTCAAACACAATTTGTACAGACAAACCAGTGGTGTTGCCATAGGATCTTCTACCTCTCCCATCTTTTTGCATTCAATCGAATCAAAGGTACTCTTCTTTTTTGACATACTACCATGTTTGTAAGTAAGATACGTAGACGATACCTTTGTCATTATGAAGTCACAACACACATGCGTTTCTTGATTGTCTAAACAAACAATTTCACAATGGAGTCAGAGGATGTGAACGAGTCATCAGTTTTCTAGACTGTTATCTCAGGGTGAATGACTCACGCAAATTTACTACCAGCGTTCAC